CCATGCTTAGGTTATTCTGGAAGCACTGTCATTGGTTGCTCACTGCTCTCTTCCTTAACCTGCAGTGGCTATCAAGCACACCTAGTAGAGGCTTGCTGAGCATACAGAATGCTCTAGATAGTCTAGATTCAGGGGATTCAGAGATGAATGGGATATAGCCCCTCCCTTTAGGAGCTCACTGTATAAGTGCTTTTTAGAAAATGGCTCCTGTGGAGCCCTTGACCTGTGTCTTAGTTGTCTAGTTCTGCTGTAACAGAAGTACCACAAGTGGGTGACTTAAAGAACAGGAATTTATTTTCTCACAATTCAGGAGGCTACAAGTCCAAATTCAGAACTCCAGGTCTAGAGGAAGGCTCTCTGTCAACTCTGGGTGAAGATCCTTATATCCTTCAGCTTTTGTAGCCCTGGTGCTCCTCAGTTCCTTGGTGATCTCCATGTGACATCTATCTCCCGACCCCCAGTTTGTGCGTGCTTGTCTCTGTGTCTGTGCTACTCTGTATCTCACTCAGAAGTGATGAGGTTTAGGACACACCCTACACGGATATGGCCTCGTTAACATAACAAAGAAAACTCTATTTCCAAATAGGATTACATCCACAGGTATAGGGGTCAGGACTCCAACACATATTTGGGGGGAGGGGGACACAAGTCAGTCCATAACACCTTGAAATGTCATTTTTCCCTGACTCATTCACATGAGGGCTATGTGCTTTTGTGTGTGTGTGTGTGTGTGTGTGTGTGTGTGGAGGGAGGGGAGGAAGATGAGAAACCCACACACATGCATTTCTCATGTTCTGGTCATTAACGTTCTTTTTCGTATGGTGAGGAGAAACTTCTTGTTGAAGTCTTGTCCAAGAAAGACACTTTTCTCCCCACACCGTGCCTACACACTCATACATACTCACATACACTCATCCTTACATACTCATACATTCATCCTCACACACGTGCCTGCACACTCATACACATTCTCACACACTCATACACACTCAGCGTCACACACATACCCTCACGTACTCACACACACTCATCCTCACACATACATATGCCTGCACATAGTCACACACACACAGACACATTCTAACACACATATCCTTGCCTATCCTCAAATATGCCCTCTCTTTTCTTCATGAAACTGGAAGCCGTGCACTGTGTCAACACATTAAAAACACAAAACAAAAACAAAACCCTGCTTCTGCAATGCGTTTTACAGATGTTCGCTCTCTAATGGGAAAGAATTGCGTGTGCTCTTTTGCAGTGTGAGTGAAGGAGGGAAGGAAGATAGTTATCAGTTGGTTGTTTTCTCTTTGGAGCCAACACCATGGTTCCCAGGCATATTGGAGTTCCTTGAGGAGGAGGACATGGGGACTCTCTGATCCTCATGCATCAGCAGGGCTGTTCGTGCTCATGCAGCTCCTGCCTTCCCTGCCCCTAGGCCTGGGGGACTCCCTTTCCTATCAGTGATAATAACAACCATGATAATAGGTGATGTTTGTTGAGTGTTTTCTTCTCTCTAAACACTGTATTCCTCATGGGAAACATCTCTTAGAATCCTCCTATAATCCCTTGGTGTAGTTACTATTAGATAGATGGATAGCTGCTGTTGAGTTGACTGTGACTCATGGCGATCTTAGGTATGACAGAACGAAATGTTGGCCAGTCCTGTATCATCCTCAGGATTGTTAGCCTATTCAAGACCATCATTGCAGCTACCGTGCCAATCCATCTCACCGAGGGTCTTCCTCGTCCTCATAGGCCCTCTACTTCAACTAAACACGATGTCCTCCAGCAATTGATCGGACAATTTCTGTCGTAATCCATAAGGTTTTCATTGGCTAATTTTCGGAAGTAGGTTGCCAGGCCTCTTTTCCTTGTCTGTCTTACTCTGGAAGCTCTGCTGAAACCTGTCCACCATGGTGACCCGGCTGGTATTTGAAATACCGGTGGCATAGCTTACAGCATCATAGCAACGCATAAGCCAGCACGACAAACTGACAAACAGGTGGTTGTAGTTACTATTATTATCCTCATCTTAAAGTTGAGCAAATCGAAGCTTTGGAAGGTTAAGTAACTTAGCCTGGATTTTGCAGGCAGGAATGGGGCCAGTAGGCTGTAGATGCTTGTTGCCCTGCAGCTAAAAGAGCACCTTTCCTGTAGAGACAGCATGGTGGTAGAAGGGCACAGACTCAGGTCTGACCTTCAGCCCAGTCACACCCTGAGTGACCTCAAAATCTTGAAACTGCTCTCTCTCAACTGTCAGATGAGGTTGCAGATGCCTCACCAGAGGGCTCAGAGGAGGAAAGGCAATCACGCTCACCCAGCACCTTGCCACGGAGCTTGTTTGCTCTCCAAAACCTGTTCAGTAACCACAGATCCTAGAATTGCAAATATCAGAGCCAACAATGGGCTTAAGAAGCATTTCTTGATTACCTCCTGTGCGTATAATTAGAGGACACAAAGGAAATTGGAAAGACAAGCTTTAACTTCAGAGCAGGGCTTCGGTCCGATTCGTTCTGGTTCAAACCTCTGCGGAGAATTTGAGTTTCTAACAGGTTCCCAGGAAGTCATACATAAGAATCGCCTGGGGAATCTTATTAAAATGTAGGTTCTGATTCAGTATATCTGGGGTGGAAATGCAAATTCTCAGCAGGAGTTCGAACCCAAATGAACTAGTTTGAAGCCCTGCTTCAGAGTGATTACTGTCTTCTTGTGTGCGGCAGATATTTTTCATGCATATAACATATGAACATTGAGCGCCCGTTACACACTAGGCGCTGTGCTGGGGACGATGGTAAAGTGTCACACTCGCAACACGGAAGTTGCCCTTAAATAATTTCATTTCCAGTTGACAAGTGCTTTAGTGGGGTTATGATTGCTCTTGGAGCACAAAGGGTTAAAGGACCAGCTCTACCTGGCAGGGCCAGCAAAGGTCTCATGCACAAGGTGCCATCTAAACTGAATCTTGAAAGGTGAATGGGAGGTCTCCCGGTGGAGAAGAGTGGGGAGACGTGAGAGAAGGCACTGCAGGGAGGGAAGGACATATGCAGAGTTATGGAGGTGTGGAAGGAAAGGTAAATTTGGGGAGCAGAGGGATGATCACTGGTGATACCATAGAGTATGGGGAGAGTGATGGGTCAGTATGAGCAGGTTTATGATGGTCAACGAAGCAAGTTAGGTTTAATCCTGCGGGCCAGCAACGGGTCCTTTGGCTCATAGGATCTCAGATGGGATGAGAAGTCCAGTTCCTTTTCCTGGTTTTTATTAGTTAAACTCTTGGCATAGTGGGAATCTTCAAATAGGCAAAGACATCAAATTGGATTTGAAAAGCTAAAGAGTATCCCCGATTGCATCCTTTGTAACAGTTAAACATTTTAAAGTAAAGAAAGCTGAGACTGTCTCATAGACCACTGGCTCCCAACTGATACCCCTAGGGGACTTGGGAAATATGTGGGTACATTTGAAATCATACAGGGTCACTAATGGTCATCACAAAAGCTGGAGAATGCTAGCATTTAGTGGGTAGGGGCCCAGGAGGCTAACTGTCCTGTGATGTATGGGACAGGCCTGCATTTGAACAAGTGACCTGCACAAAATGCCAGTAATGCCTGGTCTTAGTGACCTAGTGCTGCTGTAACAGAAAGACCACAAGTGAGTGGCTTTAACAAACAGAGATTTATTGTCTCACAGTGTTGGAGACTGGAAGTCCAAATCAGGGTCTTGGCCCTGTCCACTCCTTCGTTGTCAGTAGCCCCAGCTTTCCTTGCTTCCGTGGCATTCCTTGGCTTGTAGACAATCCTCACCTGACATCTACTCAGAAGTGATTTGATTTAGAACCCACACTACTGGTATGATCTAATTAACATAACAAAGAAAACTCTATTTCCAAACAGGATTACATCCACAGGAGTAGGGGTTAGGATACCAACACATATTTTGGGGGGAATGCACAATTTAATCCATAACACGTTTCTATCAACCGAAAAAGTTGGTGGTTCAAACCCACCCAGCGGCTCTGCGGGAGAAAGACCTGGCAATCTGCTTCCATAAAGTTTACAGCCTATGGGGCAGTTCTACTCTGTAACACACGGGGGCACTATGAGTCAGAATTGACTCAGCAGCACCCAATAGCAACAAAAACAACATCAGTTATCTATTCCTCAATGTATAAAATCTCAGTGGCATGCAGCAACGAGTGTTCATTGAGGCAGTTCTACTAATCTGAGCTCCTTCACATGAGTGGGGGCATCTGGCTGGTGACTGGTGCAATTGGGGAGACTCGCTCTGCTCCAGGTGCCTCTCATTCGCCAGCAGGCTAGCCTAGGAATTTTCTCATGGTAGTGGTAGAGGTGCAAGAAACACCAGTCTTTCAGTTAGCAGCTGAGTGCGTAACCACTGTACCACCAGGGTTCCGTCTTTCCAGTGCCTGGTGCAAAGATTGAAAAGTGTAGCTCTGGTGGGAGAAAAACATGAGTTCCACAAAGGTAGTGCTCCATCCAGTTGTGGCTACTTTGTCTCTGAAAGTTTTCCCTGTGTTACTGGAAATCGTTGTACTAAGTAGTCTAGGAAAACACCTTTTATTGTTGTAAGAAGTTTTGCAGCAGACGTTCATCAAGCATTTGCCAGGACAGTACCAGCATGACCCTGCCCTTACATAGCTTACAGTCTAATGCAGTGGTTCTCTACCTTGGCTGCACATTGAATCCCCCGGGAGCTTTTAAAACAAGTTTATGTCCAGTTATGCATTTGTCAGTAAGCCCCAGCATCATTCTGAGCTGTAAGGGGCTCATTTCTCAGGTGGTGAGCACTGTTGCCCTTCATCATCACCTTTTTGAAATTAGATTAGATTACAAGGTAGAATAAAAATGGTGGTCATCTTGTCTTTGACCCCATCAACAACATCCCAATAGGTAACAGTTTCAGGGAGAGCAGGGCACCATGGGTAGGCTCCTGGTCCCCTGAGACTTCCTTTCTCGTTCCCACACCCTCTTTCCATCTTTCAGCTCCAGAAGCAGCTCTCTGAGCTGGATGAGGATGACCTGTGCTATGAGTTCCGGCGAGAGCGTTTCACCGTCCACCGGACCCACCTGTACTTCTTGCACTACGAGTACGAGCCTGCTTCCGATGACACGGACGTCACCCTGGTCGCTCAGCTCTCCATGGACAGGTATGGCGAACAGGCCCTACCCTCCACACAGTCTGCTCACTGCCAGTCAAACTGGAGAAGGCAGAGGGCCAGCTACACAGACTTGGAATATTGAAGGCTGGTGAAGAGGGGCATGGGGCTCATCACCTCCCCAGCACTGAAAACCAAGGGCTTTTTTTTTTTTTTTTTTTTTTTTTTTTGAGTGTGGAGATGGGATTGATTCTGAGAGGTAGAGTCCTACTCAGATTACTTCAAGGTAAAGGGAGTGCATGGTAGGGAAGCACAAAGACCAGAGCCTCAGATGCTGCTAGAAAGCATCTGCCCTTTCTTTTCCTTATATATGTATTAATGCAGCAGACATTCATCAAGCATTTGCTGGAACAGTATCAGCATGACCCCACCCTTACGTAGCTTACAGTCTAAGGCAGTGGTTCTCTACTTCGCTGCACATTGAATGCCCTGGGAGCTTTTAAAACAAGTTAATGTCAAGGCTCCATCCCAGACCAGAGAAGAGACCAGAGAAGTAAGGGTCTTTGTGGAGTGGAGCCCCTGGCATTGTTTTGTTTTGCTTGGTTTTAAGTTTCCAGTATGCAGCCAGGATTGAGAACACTGGTCTAGTGGTATAAACCAAAAAAACCAAACTCATTGCTATCTAGTCAATTCTGACTCATGGTGACCCCACACGTTTCACAGTAGGACTGTACTCCGTAGAATTTGACCTAGCCATCTGCTCCTGTAAAGATTTCAGCCTAGGAAAACCTATGGGACAGTTTTACTCTGTCATAAAGGATCACTATAAGTTGGAATCTACTCGATGGCACACAATGGCACACAGCAACAACAATTTTACAGAAATAGATCACCAGGCCTTTCTTCATGGTGCCATTGGGTAGATTCAAACCACCAACCTTTTGGTTGGTAGTCTAGAAAAACCTATATAAACAACAATAAACAAATACAATGATTATAATTATGATAAGTACTTTGAAGGAACAGAGATGGATAATAACAATGTCATGTAGGGGACCTTCTTTAGATGATGTTGCCAGAGGAAGCCTCTCTGAGGAGGGAACGTTTCTGCAGAAACCGACCTAGAAGATAGTACAAAGAGTCAGGCATATGAGTTGCTGAGAGAAGATTTTCCAGGGAGATGAAATAGCAAGTGCAAAGGTCCTGTGGTGGGAAGACCCTTGTAAATTCAAAAACCTGACAGAAAACCAGTGTGGCTGAAGAATAGCAGAGGATCGGGAGTAAAAGAGAAAAGTAGCATGAGATATGATTATATAGAATGTTAGAAGCTCATGAGGTATTTGGGTTTTATTCTAAGTATGGTGAGAAGTTATTGAAGAAATACATACCAAATTATATGATCTAATTTATATTTTTAGAAACATCTCTCTGTCTGCCATAGATTAGAAGCCCCAAGGTCACTTGGGGCTACACAGTGTTTCTGTACCTGACCATTCTATATGGCCCCTCCCACATTTGCTGACCAGTTTCCTGTTCAGTTTACTCATGGCTCACAGTGGCTGCCCTAGCCCCGACTCCTTCATGTCATTCCCCATCAGCTCCCACAATTAGGAAGGGAGTTTGACTGACCCATCTGTCATTTGAACCACTTCAGATGCCTGGGGGTGGGATCCCATGAGACTGTTTTAGGGATTGAATGAGTTAATGCCATTGAAGTGCCGGGCACAGTACCTGGCACATAATTGCTCAATAAACATCAGCTATTATTAGTTATGAATGATTGAAGAAGGAGCAAAGAAATGAAAGAACAAGCACTTGGGCATGAAAAGGTTCACATAAAGTAGTCTGGGAGTTCTGAGGACCGAGCTGAACCTTGAGTCCAGAGGCAGTCTGGTTATGATTTATGGTTCGTGAGTGTGGCTTACAGATACAGATAGGAGATTCCTTGCTTTGTGAGTCCCCCATGTGTGATATGACTGGACACGTAATTCAGTGGCCTCATTGGCTGGTGGTCTCTTGGAGATTCACAGGCTCTAAAGGAATAAGGCCTCTAGAAATCCTATGAACAAAAACATTCTGACCATAGCAGATAACAGGAAAAGACAAAATGGGGCAAAAATTAAAGGGAAAAGCGTAGAGGTTCTAGCACCAATTCTACCCTTAACTTGCTGTGTGATCTCAAGCTGGCCCTTCATGTGGCCTCGGTTTTCTCATCTCCAAAATTCAAGTCATCACTCAACAGATATTTCTTAACTATCTATTACTGTTGTGTCTCATGGCTGGGAATATTTATACAAAGACCCTAGGAGTTAAGGAGTTAGGACTCAAACAGTATATTAATATTCTATCGTATAAAAAAAATTACCACAAAATTGGCAGCTTACAAAAGTACGCATCTATTATCTTACAGTTTCTTTGGGTCAGGAGTCTGGATCCATGTTAGCTGGGTCTTCTGCTCGTGTCTCAAGGCTGAAATTGAAGTGTTGGCTGGGGCTGTGAGCTCACATGAGGCTCAGGGTTCATGTCTAAGCTCATTCTGGTTGCTAGCAGAATTCAGTTTCTTGTGGTTGTAGGGGTGAGGTCCCCGTTTCCTTGCTGGCTGTTAGCCAGAAGTTCCCTTCAGCTCCTAGAGGCCACCCTCAGTCCTAGCCATGTGGCCCCCTCACAACATGACAGTTTACTTTTGAAAGCCAACAGGAGAACCTTTCTACAGCCTGCTAGGACAGAGTAATAGATAATGAAACATAAACGCAGAAGTAGCATCCCATCATATCCCCAGAGCCTGTCCACACTCAAGGGGAGGGCATTATACCAGATGTGTACACCAGTGGGTGGGAATCTTAGGGGCCATCTTAGAGTCCTGCCTGCCACAGGTAGACAAACAGATTCTTACAATAGAGAGTAATATGTTCCATGCAGGAGCTATAGCAATGCTCTGGGAGCCCAGAAGAGGAGCTTCTACCCCAGCCAGAGGTTGAAGAGAAAAGACACAGGGAAGGTGTCTTGGGGAGGAGTCACCAGGTAGAGTTGGAGGTTGAGTAGACTGAGAGTAGAAGACACATAGAGAGGAGGGTTCCCTAGAGTATAACATTCACGGGACAGAAAAGACACCAGGGCCATTGGGGAACGCACAAGAGTTGAGTGGGGTTAGAGCTTAGGGTGCAGGAACAAGGAAGATGAGAACTGATGAACTTGGCCAAGTAGGCAGGGGCTGGATTACAGAGGGTCTCAGGGAAACCTGGGGATGTGCCAGCCCTTCGGCTCAAATGTGTCAGGCTCTCATTGAGGTTCCATAAGGGATCTGACCAAAACTATTGTCCCGGACTCACCTCTGTACTTCTTGTATTTTTTGACTTCTTATCCGGCTTTCGCTTCGAGTGTTCAAGCTCTCCCCCACTAATCAGCCTGGCCACACCAACCCTCATTTCACATTTCTTCACATGCCTTCTTTATGGCATTCAAAATGAAAATTAAATCTAATCCCCCATATTAACACTTAATAATAGTCTGGATTGGTTTTCTAGTCTCCAGGCATCAAAAATGCACCTCAGGTCCCTCAGGTGAGGTACCTGAAGCCCAGCTACTGTAATCTTCCCAGGTGGTGAGTAGAGTGAGTTCAAAATAAATCCAGGTTCCCTTCACTCACAGCATCACTGGTTCTCGTCTATCACATGCACAACTCCTAATAACAGCCTCAGTTTTTCAGGAAAATATTCTCACTGAAGATTAGTAGACAGTGGCTACCTCCAAAATCAGGGGAAAAAATGAAAGAGACAAAGACAACTGACATACTTTCTACTCAGAATGCAAAGTGGCCTAACAGTGAATAAGACTTGGTCTCTGGGGCCAGATACTCTGAATTCCATTTGTGGCTCTGCTACTTCTTAGAGTTTGGATCTTGGGCAAGTCAGTTAACCTCTCTAAGCCTCAGTTTCCTCACGTATAATCTGGGGATGATAATTATAGTAGCTGCCTTCTCAGGTCATTGGAAAGATTCAGTGAGATAATGCATGTCCAGTACTTAGCTCTGGCATACATTCAGAGTCTCCCCAAAGGATGCCATTACTATTGACCAAAATCTTAATATTTGTGGTGCTGGGTAGAAAGACAGACATAAGGACAGACAGCTCTGGGTTCAAAACCTACCAGCTCCTTCACTCCTTAGCTAGTGATCTGGGGTAAGTCACTTAACATCTTTGGGTATTTGTTTTCTCCTATAAGACAGGACTAAAAATACCTGTCTCTTAGGGTCCTGATTAGGATTTCATGAGAGACTCTCTGTGAAAGCCCTTGGCACATATTTGGCATTCAGTAAATATTTGCTAGATCCAAACACCCTGACTATGGCGCCTGCACGTGGTAGGTATTTGGGAGAGGTAAGATGATATAAGGAGCCCTGGTGGTGCAATGGGTAAGTGCTTGGCTGGTAACCAAAAGGTCGATGGTTCGAACCCACCCAGCAGCTCTGTGGGAAAAAGACCTGATGATCTGCTTCCGTAAAGATTACAACCTAGAAAACCCTGTGTGGCGGTTCTGCTTTGTCACATGGAGTCACTAGGAGTTGAAACTGACTCTTGGCACCTAACAAGGTGATATGGGGGGAAAAAAGAGACCTGGGTTCAAAGCCCCGTTGTACCACTTACTAGCTATGTGAGTTTGGGCAAGATACTTAGCCTTTTTGAGCCTCAGTTTACTTACTTATTAAGTGGCGATAATATTGTCAAGTTCACAGATTTTTAGCTGGCTTATATATAATAAGAGAATATGAAATGCCCAGTAAGTGGTATGGTGTATGTTATGGTTTGAATTGTGTTCCCAAATGATATGCACTGAGGGCCTGGCCTGTATACCTGTGAATGTGATCCTGTTTGGAAATAGAGTTTTCTTTGTTTTGTTAATTAGATCATACCCTCATTTTGTTAATTAGACCATGCTCAAGTACGATGGATCCTAAACCTAATCACTCCTGAGTTATAAAAAGAGCAGAATAGGCACAGAGATACACACAGCGGGGAGACAGATGCTAAGGAAGCCAAGGATCACCGGCAGAC